CAACTCTCTTGACAACAACAGTTTTTGTAGGGGGTATATAGTATTGAAAACAGAACGCGCACTATATTTCTGAAAGAATAAATATTATAGAAATAGACCATGAGTTCCGGTAGAACGTCGTTTAATTTCAGAATACCGTGTCTTATTTTTTTTAAATTGTGGGAGGAAATTTAATAGCTAAAGCCTGCATTGAAACTCCATTCCACATAAATGTGTCGAGTGAGCAAAGCTTGAACAAATATAGGTGCATGTATAGGTCTAGCTATCTTGAAATGTATAACTTCCAAGAATATAGGTAGCAAAAAACGTTTATGCATATGTTAAGCAATGATTGGCTCTAATGGATAATCGGTTATTTGACTTATTTCCTTCAAAATCGCGAAAAAATTGGCTTATGTTTGTACTTACAGACATCAAGTATAATTAAATATCATTGAATGACATGAATAATATATATACCAAAATTTATTTCATTTCAATTCTGCATGAACCTAATGTTATTCAAAATGCCATCGATCAATTTAAACAAACTTAAAACATCAAGTGTTTGCATATTTGTTTTTTAAGTCAACTCTTTCAATGTCGTATTTAAGGCTTTCTACTTGATCTCAACATCATGCAACTTAGCCTACTTCACAGATAAGGTCGCATGTGTTGGTGAATGAAGTTTTGTAGTTAAACACAGCTAAATCTCGGTCAAATTACTCGAATACCTAACCGGCATGATCAGTTGAAGTATTTCGACAACAATTTTCGTGTTGTTTAACTTGTTCTCATTCAGCTTTAGAATTATCTGCATGCATGTCATTTGAGATATCATGGATGATGATGGATGTCAGTATCAACTAAAATAATGTCTAGGTGAATGTATTTAGTATTTGATCTGAATAGCACCAGAGTAATTATAAGCATTTGAAATAAACGACAAAATTTTTAATTGCAAACATGTTTCAACTTAACTATAAGCCATCTTCAATGCGAATGATATAGTTATTTACATTATGAAATATATAAAGTAGAAATGTGATACAGGAGAGGTGATACTCGATGAATAACATAATTATTTACAACAATGAACAATGATTGACAACATAACGGATACAAGATATGCATAATAAGTAGAACAACAGGACAGAAAAAAATTAAAACTGAAAAATTGTATTAAAATATTGAACTTGTTTGTTAAGGTCTGGTTTGTGTTTGCGAATGTACAGAGCCTTCTTGAGTTTGAGAGAAAGGAAGTGTTAGCAGTGTCTAGGAAAGTGGAGCAAGAACGGGTGTATTTAGATTTGCAGTTAGGGTTTTGTTGGTGTTTGACGTGTGAGTTTTTATCAGTGGGGGTGTGTTCTTTGATTCTTGTGGCGAGATGTTGGGTGGTTTCACCAATATAACAGGAATTACATCCTGCGCAAGTAAATTTATATACCAGGAGGGGTTTAAGATCACTAGGGATTGTGTCCTTAAAGCTAAAAATGTTTTTTATTTTGTGGGAAGTGAACACTAGCTTTATGTTGATATCACTGCAAAATTGTTTGGCAATGTTGAGGAGTTTCTGCTCGGTAATTTGAGAGGAATGTCCTATGTATGGGAGTTTAATGACTAGGCAAATTGGTGTTGAGAGTGTTTGTTGTTTGTGAGTTATTCCTGTTATTGTAAGAGTTAATAATGCGTTCAGCCAGATGTTGTGGGAACGAATTACGTTGAAGTGTGTGCGTAAGCTCTTTAAGATCGTTGTTGGGGCCATCTGGGGTAGAATGTATGTATGGATACGTCTTTATTTAAATTTGTTGCAATAATGGAGTTGTGACAAACGTGACAATACATATAAATTACAAAACTAGTTATTTACATATTTTAAACATCATTATTATATACAATAAAGCGTAAGTATTAAAAATTATTAAAAAGACACTTTTTTAAAAATGATTGTTTAAAACATTCTGTGTTTACCTTTGGCAACATAAATTGATGATCACGTTCTCTTAATGGCCGTTGTCGTTTTTCCGGTAACAGCTCGTAGAGGCTTGTACAGGATTGTTCATGGTCCTATTGAACAATGATCGATCCTTCTCCTCAATGATCTTAGTCATCGAGTATTTATTTTGGGTGTATCCATATCGGAATGCACGCTTGAGAAACTTGTAGAAAAGGGGCTTCTTTCCGCTGTAACCACAAATCCAATTTCTTTCGTGGTGGCCAATGAAAAGATTGGCCAGAACCGGAGCTAAAGGGGTGCCCATTGCCACACCATCAATTTGATCATAAAATAAACCATCAGAAAGAAATTGGGACTGTGATGTAGCTATAATAAATAAATGTGTGAGTTCTTTTTTGTTAATTGAAAAATTAGGGCATTTAGTAAGAATAAGATTAACCGCAATTTCAATAGTTTCATTCAAAGGGATATTGGACAGCAGTTGACGCTTCCTTATATCTTTTAATGTTGAAAGCCGTTTTCCTAATATCCCTTTGAGATGAAATGGAACTATTGAAATTGCAGTTAATCTTCCGCACTAGATTTCGCACAAACTGCTTGAACTCTCCTCCTCCACGTATCCAGTGCAGGGCTACTGTACTGTCCAACCAACCAAAGACCTAGCTTACTGGAAACCCGTCCAACGCTTCTCGAACGTTGTGCCGGAACCAAGTTTGTAGCCATGTAAGCTGATACCAACTCTAAACGAGGGATTGTCAGGTTATTTTTTGCTAAACACGACTTGGCGGCAACGAGACCTTGGGAGATCTCACTCTGTTGTTTAACCACCGCGATTACCGACGCCGCGACTCTGTATCCACTCGCATCCCCAAACGCGTGAGGTTTGACATCCTCGAGCTTCTCTTCAAACTGGACTAAGCTCCTGGGGGCATTCCCTTCCAGTTCACTTGGCATTCTCACACTCCAAGCCACTTTACGTTCAGCTAAGCTACTTTCAGTTGTTTCGCCTTCGCGATTGTTTCCCCTCCGCTGACCAAGCCGTCGACATACATGCTGTTGCTAATTTCTTTCACGATCTCTGGGTCCTCTTCTTCGTGTCTTTGTAGATGTTGTTGGATCACTCCCCCGAGCAGGAATGGCGACGGGGACAAACCAAATAAGGCTCTTGTAAAGCGCAACGTCACGACCTCTTTTGTCGTCAGATCTTTGGGCCAATGGAAGCGCATGGCATCTCGGTCCCCTTCGCGAATACGAACCTGCATGAAGGAAGGCTTGTTTCAAGTCACTAGTCAATGCAACGGGATGGAATCGTCCTCGAACGAGTACTTTCCATAAATGGTTCTGCAACGGTGGGCCATTCTCTAAACACTCGTTCAAGGATGGCGAATTCTCGTGCTCCCGCGCTGACGCGTCGTACACAATGCGTAACTTCGTTGTTTCTGAGGTTTCTTTAATCACTGCTTTGTGTGGTATGTAAAATTCCCGTCCTTGGTGTTCTGCGTCGACCTTCTCCACGATCCTTTCCTTTATCTGCTCTTGAATCACCCCATCGTAGCGTTCTAGAATGCCTTGCTTCCCCAGCCTTTTGACGAGGTCGTTTAGGCGTTTCAAACTTCCGCTTTCGTTGCTAGGTAGCGGAGGGTGGTTGCCTTTCCACGGGAGTTCGGTCTCGTACCAGCAATGCTCGCTTCTCGATATTCGTTCTTTAAACTCGTTGTATACGTTCTCTTAATCACCAATTGGAGTATCGTGTATATTGTAGTATCTTCCCGGTGCATGTTGTTCAGGTCGACCTTCTCACCGCCAGGAGACATAATGGTCCACCCAAACTAAGTGAGCTCAGCGATTGGTTCTCCGGGTGACCCCAATCTCTGATTCGTCAACGTTTTATTTTGGCGCAGTCTCCAGTCCTTCGTGTCTTGATCTTGCATAGGTACGCCTTGGAGGTGGTTGTAGTTTGAAATGAGATGTTGGTATTTCGTATTGTCTAAGGTCAAGAGCTTCTCTCAACTCGCGTTACTTCGGTCTCGATATGAAACTTCTCCTCTGCATCGCTTATTTTTAGAGTATAAATTCCAACCAAATTGGTTGAAGTCCCAAACATCATTTCTATACGACGCATTTCTCGTTTTTGGGGTTTAGCTTTTATTTTGTCGAGCAATGCAGACGAGGCGTAAGAACTTCCCGCCCCGGTGTCGTCCATCACACCATCCACACCAACAACTACGACAGGATAAACGACAGATTTTTGGACGCACAAGTTGCAGTATTAAGTAGCGTGTCATTAGAGGGCGCAGCGGGAGGCTTCTTATCACCCGGGGGGTCAAAAAGGGCTGGTTGCTCATGGTCAAAGAGTATTCTTGAATTGATCCATGTTATTTCGAATGACGTCAAGTTGAAGGATTGAGATAATTTCAAATTATTACTTTCATTTCCATCATTAAATCTTCACATTCGTCAAAATAATATCTTAAGAGTTGCTTACAGATTCTTTTAATTGTGAAATGATCTCTTTACTAATAATAATAATATTATGCTGCTTCATGGATAATTTACGCTTAACCTCAAGATATTGTGAGTGTTTTTTCTTCAGTCTCATTGTGGTAGGCTCGTTTGCAGAACCCGATGAAGCGTAATGAAATAAAACACACATGGTTGAATTATTTTGCCAATTTAGAAGATAGTGATTCAAATAGATTGTATGACTACACGTACTATCATTACTATGCCTGTGTATGCCAATTGTACATAACGCTAAGTCACTTGAACTAATATGTTTACCTTAATCTGATTATATCCATGCAAATAAATGAAAATCAAGTTTACATTATGCATGTTATCGCAACTGGGAAAAAGTATTTAAAAACTGAAAAAGTAGCTATTGTTTTTAAATGAGAAAGCGTATATTCTCCATTGATTATACCTAATGTTAATTTTGTGTAATGTTGCGTAAGAATATTTTTTTAAAGTTGAATTGAATTATTGGGTGATTATAACCAGCCAATAAGCGTTACAATTATTGTCGTCAATATTTATAATTTTCTGTGGATTAAATCTTGTATAGATTACACCCATGGATAAAAATCGTGAAATATCCATAATTGGCACCGGAGATTTTGGATGTGCGCTTGCCAAACGGCTTATCCAGAATGGTTATCAGGTTACCATTGGAAGTCGCTCTCCACTTAACAGGAATCTGGGGAAGCGCAACGAAACTCTGAAGACAGCACGTGTCGTATCTGTCCGAGACTCTATCATGGCTTCAAATATGGTAATTGTCGCTATACCTTACGAGCACGTTGGTTCGCTCAAAAGCCACGAAGATATTTTAGAAGGTAATTTAACAATCCTTTTATATGGTTTTAAAGTGTATACGTAATGGCTGCTTTCAACCGTCACGTTTTTTGTACATATGCATGTATACAGTAAAAATGAACCACATTATGATAAACTCATACAAAACTAGAACAAATTTATTTTGAACAAATAAAAAATTCTGTTTCATTTAGGGCGGACTTCTACTGCCGCCTTTTTTGTACAACGCACACACACAAAAAGCTTAAAACTTTCTGTGTTGTTGAATAAATAATTCTGCCAGAAAACGTATCATTCAAATCTTTTACTTGCGAGTATAAATTTACACTGTAATCACAGTTTCGGATTTGCACTGGTAAGTCCTATGTTTCAAAACATTTATAATACAGAATATATTATAACTTTATAGGACATAAATCTTTTATCTTATAGTTTTCTTGATCGTGCGGGTAGAGATTATCTACCTTGTGGTTTTCACAGGGGCAGATCCCAGATTTTACCATTGTTAGGCAAAAACGTCAGATGATAAGTAAGCCCCAGGAAAGACTCCAGACGACTTTTTTTCGAATTTCAGAACCGCAATTTGCGAAAAATTTGAGCCAAACGTATAGTACTACTCTATATTGTTGACTATGAAATCACGTCCTCATTAAGGCTGTTTTCCACAAGGCGGAATTTTGCGCGCGGCATTTTTCTCATATTAGTTCTGCATGAAAGCGGCCTAGCTGACAATGAAAAATATCGCTCCGCGTGCAATCGCCTAGTGGAAAACAGCCCTTCAAGGCTGTTGCCCCACTAGGCGATTGCATTGCATGGTAATGTAATGGTATAATTGTCGCTATACCTTATGAGCACGTAGATTCGCTCAAAAGCCACGAAGATATTTTAGAAGGTAATTTAACAATAATTTTATATGGTTTTAAAGCGTTAGGGCTGCTTTCCACTGTCGCGTTTTTTGTACGTAGTACGTAAAGTAAATACGTTTTTATACGCAAGTAAAAGATTAGAATAATTCAAATGATACGTTTTTTGGCATAAAATTATTATGATTACAACAACCAATGCAGAAAGTTGCCCCACTAGGCGATTGCATTGCATGCAAGTCTTTGACAGACTTGACTATATAATTTTTTGGACAGAGCCAGTGCGTGCGGCTTTGTGCTTATATAGCTTTATCGCTATAAGAAGCCATTTATGAATTCTGACTAGCCTGAGTATTTCGGTATGACCCTGCATGGACTCCGATAATTATATTACCTCGGATGGTCATATCTTTGTTAAGAGAAAAGATGACGGTAAAACTTCTATTATTAAGCGAAAAGAGGACTTGAGTACATATTCATGATTGATAATCTCCTTCCTTTTACCCTTTACTCAATTTTATTATACTTTGATAGCTATGAGTGCTTTTCCTATTTCTTTGTCCTTTATTGTGTTTATTTTTCTCGCATTTAATTGTTTAACTATTGAGCAGCCCGAGGCAACTTTATATTGGTACCTTAATTTTAATGGCGCCTAGTTTAATAATGCATAGAGCAGCTACTTGGACTCTTATTAGTCAATTCTTATGTATTGAAGATAAGGTGGCGGTATGCCACTTAGCTTATTTAGTTTTGTTAATTCTATTGTCTGGAGACGTTGAAAGTAACCCCGGTCCACGTAATTTAACACTAAATATAGGCCATATTAATGCTAGAAGTTTGAATGTTGAAGACAAATTTGATGAGATTTCGTCTGTTGTTATCGAACATAAACTAGATATTTTTGCTGTTTCTGAAACTTGGTTAAATCAGAGTATTTCTAGTGATTCATTATGTATACCAGGCTTTAGTCCGATGTTTAGATTGGACAGAAAAGATGGTAGAAGAGCGGGGGGCGTTGCATTGTATGTTTCTTCCAGTTTAGCTTCTATAAGGCGTAATGATTTAGAACACGATGATTTTGAATTACTGTTTGTTGAATTCAAAGTCAATTCTTTAACATTTGTTTGTGGTGTTTGTTATCGACCACCGAATAATAATTCGGTACTTAATGACGCTCTTTTGGATCATTTACAATTTTGTGTAGATAGTATAAACGCTAGACCCGGCACTTTTGTTTTACTTCTTGGGGATTTTAATGCTCATTTTGATGTAAACGATATTCAGTCTAGTAGTGACTTCGGAATATATTTTTATAGGTGGATGGAGTGCAATAGCCTTTTTCAAGTGATAAATGAACCAACCCGTATAACAGCACACGGTGCCTCAATACTTGATCTAATTATAACAAATTCTCCGGGATATTTTGTTAATTCTGGTACTTTAAGCCCTCCATATAATTGTGACCATTCTTTAGTTTATGCTCGGATGAGCATTTCCTTCGCAAAACAAAAATGTTATAAACGACACATATGGGACTTAGCCAAAGTAGATTCTAATACGTTATGTCAAGCCCTGTCGGAGGTAAATTGGGATAAATTATTTCAGGATGTTAAAAACGTCGATGATTTATATAATGAGTGGTTTAATTGTTTTGAGCAAGTACTTAAACTTTTGTTCCGAACAGAACAGTTGTTATTCGTCCAAGAGATAAACCTTGGATGACTTCTGGAATTAGGCGTTCAATTCGCAAAAGAAATAGGTTGTTAAAAGTTTTTAGGCGGCTGAAAAATTTAGTGGCATGGGAAAATTACAGAACGCAAAGAAATTATACCACATCGTTAATACGTTTAAGCAAGGAAAGATATTTTGCAAATCTAAATATAGAATTACAGAACCCACATATTGGACCGAAAAAGTGGTGGGGGTTAGTGAAATCATTGTATGGTAATAAATACAATCTGGAATCCCTACATTAATTGAAAATGATCGCTTAATAATTGACGCAAGAGAGAAAGCTGAAATTTTTAATGAATATTTCAGCACACAGTGTAGATTGGAAAATAATGATTCTCCGCTACCAAATTTAATTGCCCTTCAAAATATAAGAACATTGTCAGATATTTCCACGTGCGAACATGAGGTAAAAATTTTACTTAATAGTGTCGATGTTTCTAAAGCTTGTGGTGTCGATGGTGTGGGTAATTTTTTAATTAAAGCTAGTGCAAATGGTATTGCCAAATCTTTTTCTAGATTTATAAATATCTCTCTTTCTAGAGGAATTTTTCCGTTTAAATGGAAGTTGGCAAATGTAATACCTATTTTTAAAAAAGATGACCGCCAGTCAAAATTAAATTATCGACCAGTTTCACTTTTGATATCCTTATCAAAAATTATGGAAAAAATAGTTTTTACTAGGCTCTATAATTTTTTATTAGAAATTCAGTTTTTGAATCGTTTTCAAAGCGGGTTTCGCCCTGGTGATTCACCAGTAAATCAACTTATTTTAATTGTTCATAAAATATACGAAGCATTAGATTCAGGTAAAGAAGTTCGCATGGTCTTTTTGGATATTAGTAAAGCCTTCGATAGGGTTTGGCATAGAGGACTTATTTATAAGCTTGAGTTACTTGGTGTAGCGGTTCCTCTTTTAAAATGGTTTAAAAGTTATTTGTTTGGAAGAAAACAAAGGGTTATAATTGATGGCCAGTCATCTGACTGGAATGAAATCGAGGCTGGCGTTCCACAAGGTTCCGTATTAGGTCCATTACTTTTCTTAATTTATATAAACGATATTACTCAGGATCTTCAGTGTGACTCTTTTCTTTATGCTGACGATACTTCTCTTCTTGAAGTAGTTGAAGATATAGATATATCTGCGGAAAGACTTAATAATTTGCAATGCATTAATGAATGGACACGTTACTGGCATCTTACTATAAATCCAGGCAAAACCAAATCTGTCACATTTTCAGCTAAAATGTTCAAACCAGCACATCCAACGTTATATTTTGCAAATGAGCCGATTGAAATAGTTAGTAATCATAAGCATTTAGGGGTTACCCTATCTTCAAATCTTTCTTGGAGAGCACATATACTCAATATTTATGAGAAAGCGTCAAAAAAACTTAATCTTTTAAAAAATTTTAAGTTTAAGTTAAATAGAGAGACTTTATCAAAATTGTACAAGTCTCTTATCAGACCAGTGATGGAATATGCTGATGTTCTTTGGGATGGTTGCTCTGAAAATGAAAGCGATCTCATTGAGCACGTTCAATATCAAGCTGCAACAGTGGTCGTAGGTGCTAAGAAGGGTACTAGTAGAGTACGGTTATTGGAGGAATTAGCTTGGGAAGATATGAAAACTAGGCGATCCATTCATAAACTTATTTTATACTTTAAAATTGTAAATATGCTAACACCAAATTATTTGTTGGATTTACTGCCTCAAACAGTAAAACAAAGGTCGGGTCTATCCCTAAGAAATGCTTCTGACTTTTCTCTTTTTGGTGTGAAAACTGAAAGATTTAAAAAATCGTTTTTTCCTTCAACTACTATATTATGGAATAGCACTGATATTAATGATCGAAATTCAAAGTCGATTGGTTTATTTAAGAGCTCATTAACTTCGTTTTTTGACATTCAAACTTATACTGGCTATTATGATTTTTCTATTGATAGGCATTCTTCTATCTTACACACTCGTTTGCGCCTTAATTGTAATGCTCTAAACTATTATTTGTTTAAAATTAATTGTAGATTATCTCCAGCATGTTTATGTGGAGATTCTTGTGAATCAGTCATTCATTATTTGTTATATTGTCCTCGTTATGCTGCTCTTAGATTATCCTTACTCTCGGCTGCTGCTCATATTTATGGTGAAGGCTGGTATCTCTTGTCGGATTCTCAAAAGTCTAAAATATTTTTGTTTGGTTCAGCTGATTTGAGTGTAGATAGTAATAGATGTATATTTATGCATGTTCAAAAATATATTAAGCAAACTAATCGTTTTTCTAAGAATCAATTTTTTACTTCTGAACCTTCAATTGAACCAGCTTTTATCACCTTTGCTGTTGGTTTTTCTTTTCTTTTTTGTAATGTTCGTCTTCTCCTGTTGTAAGTGTTATTCAATTATTTGTACTAATGTCAAATGTAGTGTGAGCCCCTCGATGAGCGTGCACGCTCTTGGGTAAACACTAAAGTCAATAAATATGTTTATATAAAAAAAAAAAAAAAAAAAAAAAATTATATTACTGCAGGCTTACAAGTAAAATATATACAATAATATTCCAATGTTATTTGACCAATACAACAAACTAGTGACTACATTATGCAGTGATGAAGACACTGTGGGAGTAAAATACTTTTTCCCGGGCCGATGTCCCCGCATTTAATCTGGACTGCTCAACCGGACCGCTGATGATTTTAGTGGCCATAATGGCTAATCGTCATAGCAGTCCAAAATAAGCGTGTGCTATCAGTGTTTAGCATCCATATACATAGGATGTAATAAAACTTTGATTGCACTCATTGCACACACTTATCTTGGTATGTCTAGGGTTAAATTTTACCATTAATTGGAAAATGTATCGTTGTACAGTTTTAAATTATGATTGTGTGTGCAAATCACACATATAAATATATAATTTAAAAAAATCATTCAAACTTGTGAATACACGAATTCTTTTACTGATATCCTCCGGACGTTTTTCCATGGAAAAATAAACACGTTATTTACTGTTCTTGAGTTGCACAAACTAATTATTCAAATATGTACTAGTTACATGCACAACGACTACTTAGATTTAAAGGGCGTCTCTCCGTTACACGCCGAATAAACTATGTTTAATTCTATTCAAGGTAAAATTCTTGTTGATGTTAGCAATCCATCCACCATATCCAAAGAAAGGTCCAATGCTGAAAAACTTGCCGATTTGCTTCCTAAATCAGTTGTGGTGAAGTGCTTCAACACCATGTCTGCCTACTCAATAGACGATGACACTTCCAATGAGCATCGCCAAGTCTATGTAGCCAGCGATGATGCACATGCCTCTGAAGTTGTTATCCAATTGGCCAAAGACATTGGCTTCGCTGCGCACAATGTTGGCAGGCTTCAGAAGGCTAGGGACCTGGAGTCCAATACCCTGTACCTGTTTCGCGGCTGGGGCTGGCCTACATTGTTCACGATTGGCTTGTTCCTAGCGGAGCTTCTCTATCTGTTTATTGTGATGTACATGGTGGTAGATCGGTACGAAAAAAGCCAAATACCCACCTACGTGTTGTACAAGGCGGCTGGGGCGGTCAGTCTTAACCTACTGGCGTTCTGCTACCTACCAGGGGTGTTTGCAGCTTTTGCTCAGATTTACTATGGCTCGAAACACACACGCTTTCAACCATGGTTGAACAGCTGGTTGCAAGGTCGCAAGCAACTTGGCATCTATTCCCTGTTGTTTGGCTTCGTGCACATGATAACAGTCATGAGTTGCATGAATGGTGCTTACTTCGACTATCTCTTCAAGCGACAATACGTTACTGTGAAAGGAAACGGGACAGACGATACCATAATCCCAGTCGACACAAAGATGAACCTGCACGGAGAAGGGTGCATTGCCACTGGACTCATCGCCCTGTGTTCGATGGCAATCGTCGGTCTTGCCTCAGTCCCTGCTATAGGTTCCCTGTTGAACTGGCGGGAATGGCGCTTTATCCAGTCCCGCTTCGGCCTCGTCTGCTTCTTGCTGACGGTGGGGCATTGCATGGTCCACGGTGTGCCTCGCTGGATGATTCAACGTGACCTTGTTCTTCGGAACAGCTTCATGAGCCTGATCTTCCCTTGGTTCACCCTGCTCCTAAAAATCATCTACTTCGTGCCCTGTGTACACCTGCACGTTTGGAAGATCAGAAGTGGTTACGAAAGAGGCGTAAGATGTGATTTCGAGAAAAGCAGCACTGAATCCTACGCTAACGAAGCCTTCGCAAATGGCAAAAAATGTTCCGCTGGTGGCGATCAAGGTGTACAGTCCGGCTCTGATGATGCAGAAAATGGCGATGGTGATAGCTCGTTACCTAACTCAGTTCCTTGATCGATGGATTGATTACTCTTTAAAATACAATATATACTTCTAAGCGTGTAAACATTTATTCAATAACAACCTAGAATCGTAAGTTTTTAATATTTAATGTTATCTAAAAGCAGTAATTAACATTTTCGCACATGTTTTTCATGAGACCGTTCCACTATAGGGGTTGTTGATCAGATCCTGTTTACCCGAGATTCAGCGAGGCGTTAAACGACTCTGGGTATTAAAATGAACATACACGGTGAATAGAACGTTATTGGTCACCAAGTTCAATATTCTGAAATTCATGTAATGTTTTTAACAACAACGATAGATTTAAGAACGATTTTAGACGGAGGTTGAGTTTGCTCATACACGTTTAAAACAGAAATTCTTCTTAGTTCTGTTCTCAACTGATCCATTCGTAATCGAACTTATAAGTTTAATTCACGTGTGCTTTTTTTATGCCTATAGCAAGCGTATTTTCCATTCCCAGAAGCGTAATTAGTTGCACAGCTACTGAAATTCTAATGTATGATCTCGTGCATACGAATTATGGTATTTGCAGTTTATTATACACCTTGTTGAATACGATTACAAGTCTTCTCAAAATCCAGAGACCAAACGTTTTTTGTAGCTATTTCAAAACAAGGCGGACATTCAAGAATGTGCTGCCTTTTTATACACCTTGTATTAGATGATCATGTCAGTGCTGTGACTACACCACTCTCAACAATAGCACGCGCTTGCTGTGTTTCATAACGATTTATTTTAATACTTTTAAATCATCTCACGCTTCGTTAGTTCTTGGATGATCAGACTCATGTAAACAGTCCCTATAAAAGCGGTTTCAGAACGTATAAGTTACAAGCACGAATAGCATAACGTACATGCAGATAAAAGCTAGAATTAAGCTTGCATAGTTTTGTTTTTATATCGAATATACTTGTTGTCCTGGTTTATTTTTTATACTTAATCTTATGCATAAAAATAGTTAAAAATAGTTATTCTTATATTTGTGTTATTATAAAGCATTCTTTCAACGATTGCCAGTGTAGTTCTTTTGAGACTTCGCGTGATCTTGTCTTGTACATTTTACCAGTAATTACACCTTCCTTTTGAGTCTTGAAATTCTAGTTTCATTTTTCATTTGCCTATGCCAAGTAATAATGAGATCTTTATCTACAGGGTGTATATAAAAGTACCATTGAACTCAAAAGAACTGGAAGGCTACCTCCGGCCGGAAATTTGAAGCCAAATCTTGGGGTCATGCCCAGTCTTTTAACGCAACTATACACGCGGTTTTTTAAACTTTAAAAATAATACTTCACCATGCAAACACTAAAACATCTTTTAGAGGACATAAAGTACATTTTCCACAGCATTTTTATGATAAAAACATCCGTAAAAACTACAGAATAAAGTATTTTAAATTTCTCTGTATCAAACTCGCAATTTTAAAAATTGCCCTTTTTATGATAAATATTGAACAAGGAGTGAAGCCGGGTCAATTCAAAAGTGTTTGTGGAAATTCACCTATTTAATTTACTTGTTTATAAATTTAATCCTTCTGAAACTTACGAAAAAACATTCTAACAATATTTATTTAACAACAAAATACAGTTAAATTTCTTTTTTATATGTTTTATGAGTACATAACAACAATATATATATTTTTTTGTTTTGTTGCCTGTAAATCTTTTTGAAGTAGTGATCGTTTTTGAACAAAAGATAAGAAAAGGTTATGTGTCAACTTTAAATATGTGAATATACACCCCCCTCCCACTAAATTATCGCATCTATAGTTACGGTCATGCATACGTAAAATTGAAAGCGATACCTTAATGTGTTTACATAGACGAGGTAAAAAGCGCATCACATCAAAGGCTTAACCTGATTATAGGATTTCATTATATGCAGTTTACGCCTCGCCTAGCCGGGATAACTCACTCAATGTAAACAGGCCCTTAATCATGCATGCATTCAAATTCCAAAAAGTTTCGTTTCAATAAGCGGGAATTTTCGTGATACCGCACACCCTTTTTCGTATTCATAGTGTCTATTCCACCGGTGCATGTGCTTTAAGTGATGATTTATATAGGTCATTCTGCATGGAAAGTGGCGGATTCAGGGTAAATCAGAATCAATTACTACAGCTCTAACTTACAATCATATTGGGAGATTTTCATGTAAAAATATTCTTTAGAAATGAATAACCAATAGCGTTGTTATTAAGGTATTTTGAACTCGAAATTGTCGGGTCGTGTAATTTATTCTGACTTACCTTGAATCCATCACTGATTCTGAAAACCTACAGTTAATAACCTCTATATAACTATGTGGAAATATTTCGTCGGTGATCTAAGTTTTTTCTACGTTGAATCATATCGATTCGATTTCAACGGTTGCCAATGAGTCTCAAAGACCCTTTATTCCTTTTTACTTGTTTGATTGATAGGTCAACAGTATACTCATGAACTATCAATCGACTAAATATTTTCGTCCTGAAATAACCCTTATAATTAACATGGCCTTACATGGCACGGCAACGCGTAAGCCTGGTGGAGTCGTGAAGCGGCGCCAAAAATTTAAATTGAAGTATTTTGTGTTGCGGCGTGCTGTTGTGTTTACAGATTTAAATTGCTTCCAAACAAGTGATTTAAGGATTTATACCTAATGATTTAAGGCTCTTCTACCTAGGTTAAGGCTGGTCACGTGATTCTTTGGTTACGCTTCTCCCGTGTGGACTGTGGCGATGGACACAAGTCGCATAAATTACATCAGTTAAAACAACGTGTTTCTAAGGACTGAATATCGAGCGCTGTTTTACTAAAAAGCGAAATAACCTGTGTCGTTATTGTGTTAAGACAGGCCTTCGAGTGTCTGTATTGAATGTCAACAGAATATGTGACGAAAATAAAACTGATTCTATCGACGATGATACAGTCTTCTCTCTTTTTATCAGAACGATGCGCTGGTTTGTATGCTTCAAAGAGAGAAATTGTTTAATTGATTGATTCCAAGACCGTTTCGCAAGATTCCGATGACCTGAGCCATTTTTGCCCCAGGAATTTTCTTTCGTCAATCTTCCATTCCAAATCCGTTCAAAATAGCTACGTCCAAATCAGAATCAAAATACATTCTTCCCTAAAGTGACCGAGTTAACGGCGTACAGTATTGTCCAGAAATAACATTTTTTCATTTTTATTTCATTCCAAATTAACCCATTTCTGATGTTATGACCATGGAATAGCCAATAAAACTTAACCATTTCAGACCATGTGACTTGAAATGGGTTAATTTGCATACAAGCTGAAAAGGTCTATTCCAGTGGAGCAAACTATTTCCCATTTCATCCCCTCAGAAGAAAGTATAATCTCACTATATTTCATAGATTGTGATTTAGCTACGTCACGAGTTTCTACCTCTTGGCATAAGACCTTGGGGGTTCATGCAATTTTTGAGACAATCAATGAGGGTAACGCTCTAATGGTAGGGTAAGTTAAAAAGTTATGGAGTGAATATTGTATTTCGTGTAGGCTATGGAATAAAGCTGGTGCATATTAATTAATCGAAACATGTAATGATTAAAATATCTACAGACATATTTTTCATGTACCGATATATGTATGGGAACCGTGACATCCTGGGTACTGTGCATGTCTCGCTGCAGGCAAGGTGTACCAAGAACTAAGTTAGATTCTTATAGTGCGATACACTCTCGACGCCCTACGCCATCTATAGGTATGCGTTACATTTTTGAGATCTGAAATTATTCGCTAGGAATTAGAATAATATTATATTGTGTGTTATTATCTGATATTATATTGAATAATTCGAAATCTACACATACTGCATGCGGGATATGATATCAAGGAAATTTGATATAATTTGAAAAATGAGATTTCGAAATGGAAATTCCGGCAAAGATCGCTTCTTACTAGTCAACACTATTGTTTATTCGTTATGATTCCTGCATGTCAAACCAGTTTTTAAACATAGTGTCAGCTTGGTAGTTGTTCGAAATAAGCACGTGCAATGGATTGCAAATTTTTTATCCTCCTTTTAAAGATTTTTTTATCAATCACACCTTAAAATCGCTTTCGTAAGGTAAGACAAAGATCGATGTTGATAAAATAACACTTTTTGTTAGGCAAGATAGCACTTATATGTTTTTATGTCTGATAAACTAGTTTTTCTATGGTTTTTCTCAAGCATCTTTCGTCTGGTTTCTCACGGGTATTTCAGCCGTTTTTACATTTGTAGATTTCGCCAAATGAAAACTGATGAATCATTGCTTTTGGAGAGGGATGAGTCTGTTGGAAAACACAAGATTCAATTCGAAATACGAGAAATATCTATACGTCAGTGGAGCATCTACTCCATTATACCATAAAAGCATATGACACAAATACTGCTGGTTTGGATGGTGTGTATTGCTTCATTGTCTATTTGCATTGTATGGCTTCAATTGTTATTTCAAAAACATTGACATTGGTTTTGTTTTTTAGTCGTGGTTATGACATTTAATCAGCTGGATGCGTAATTATATGCCATTACTAGAAATACATTGCATGCAAAGTCTCCTCGCCTGAAGCAATAAACTTATATCTCCATCACTGAAATTCTATAATATACTCGTTTCTGCTGAATGATCGAAGTCGTAAAGTAAAATCCTATATCTTGGTACAATTATAAAGTCGACTCTCGAGCTATCAAATTCGACTATAATCATAATTGTGCTATGAATAGTTTTAAATACTACAATTTTTGGCGAAATTTCAATTACTTTTTGAACAGATTCACCTTTAAAAATAAATACTTTCCAAATCAAAATCATTTTAACGAAATTGACGAATAAATTCAAAGAGGTGTCGTACATTTGTTGATAAATCCACGTATTAAACTTACCAAATACTTGTATGCTTTAAAATACAAAATCTACCCATTTACCTGTTCAAAAACACTTTCAAAATGCTTCAAAATCGTAGATTTTTACCATCCATTTGAATTAAAAATTTTTCTATCCAAAGGCATCTTTTACATTATATTTTAAGCAATTTTACGAGTCAATTTTTCGTATATTTTTAAGACCATCCAAATGAAAAATATTATTTAAAAAAAGTTTTATAATTCAAAATATCAGTTATGCCACTGTGGTTATGCTGACGTGAACCCAAAATTTAATTTAGCCAATCGCACGTTTGTAAATGTTTGCTAGTTACCAGTTTTAACTCGTCTTATACTCACGCATGCGCATAACTTACAAAAACGCCCAACGTCCATGACATAATGGCGGACAACTTTCATTTCGCATTTGCATTCCCGGGCGTAATTAAAATCTCCGGGCGGAATTAGTACCCTCGCCCGGTGCCCGGCTCGGGGATTATGGCGAGTTTTCAAATACAGCATTATAGTGGCCTTTTAGTGACCTTCAGAGCTCAAACGATGCCGCTGAGCCATACTCGGTTGTTTTTATCCAATTATTTACTATCTTAATAGTTTATTTTCAGATAACACACGAGCGAGAGTCAATCATTCATCAAATATTCAAGTGGTTTATATACGTTAATATAGACTTAAATATTTTTTATTCATGGCATTCTCAATTCACTGTAAATGCAGTTAGATGCACTTTGTAGAGTGTATGCACGGCAAAATTTGTATTTTCGAATTGTTTGAGTGTGTATATTACTGAAGAGGTGGATATTTATCATGAAAGCCATGCACGCACGTGGCGTAACTGACTCGATCTTCCTGTCAACAAATATTCTTTATATAATATATAATTTTTAGACCTACTCGAGAGATTCGGCGTAAGCTTTCCCTCGGTAATAATATTTAAGATTATAGTCCATCTAAAGTTAGTGATGGTGGTAAGAGACAGGAAATTTAGATGAATGTTAATTGTATTCATATAAACATTAATTAGCTTGCATACTCTCTTTTCACTGATAACTAGCGATAATTTGTATTAAAGTTTGCATTCCTGGCCCAGAACGAGACCTTTCACTTCTTTTGAGAGTGTCAGCCACATGATTAAGCGACGGTTTCACGGTTTTTAATTCTTCCTCAATGATGAATTTCATCCATTGTCACATCATTTTTGTGACGTCATTTCTGCGGCTTCCACTCAAGCAATGGCACATGGCAACTTTCAACTTTACAAATGGTAACATTCAATATAGCGAATGGCAATTTTTAAAAAGAAGTTGGGCAACGTTTGGCAATATTTTACTTTTTTGTCAATCTCATCTGCATATTCGAAAGTCAAAAAATGTTGGTGTAGTGAACAATTGTCAAAGGCTGTATTATGAACAGAATTGGTGATTATCGCGGGTGATGGCCTACGCCATAACACCGTACCGCGTCAATTCGAAATGGGATGTATTGAAGGTTGTTCAATATATACGGATACCATCGTAATAAATGAGCAAATAAAGATTTCGCGTCAGCAATTGAAGGTTGGGTTTTTTATGTGTATCTATTTTATAACTTGTTTCAGTTGTTTGCGTTCATAAAAACATATTTTAATACCTCAAAATCTTCCTACGCTTCGATGACCGGGCAGACCGATGAGTCAAGGCAATTTTCTATTGCAGTCGCTTGGCCGTGCAGGCGAAGCGCGCTTTGTTTTTCAGACCCGTCACGGTCGCATGGGCACATTTTCAAAAGCCGCTTCGCCCGCGCGGGTGACCTGACCTAAACTTATATTATGAAATGACACAAAACTCAAATCAGTCTTATTATATTTTACCGAGTATATAATAGCTAATGTTTCCATCATTCAATACAAAAATAATCATAAAGCTAGTGTAAACATTGCCCGTTCAATTACATTTTCAAAAACACTTTTTGAAGTTATAGCGAATGTGTAATAGCCTTTCACAGGTTTAGGCGTTTGCATAAAAAGCTGAAAATTTGACAAATAAACGGCATACAAAGCTGAAAATTATACAAATACAGCTCATCCTTACCACGAAACAAATACGAAATAAACAAAGTAAACACGTACCCTTTGAAAACATTTATAAGCTTGCAGATTATGAATTATTCCTCTTACACGGCTTTGTATTGACTGTATCCATGTTAAAAAAAGCAACTACAACTATATAATGCAGAAAAATTGTTTACAACGAGTCAACGACTATAGTTTTATTGTCAATAAAGCGACTTTAAGAACAGTCAACGCTGCTGAAGTGATGACGGCTGTATTAAAATGTCGCGAAAAACAGCGAATGTAATTTTGGCTGATGTCAAGTGGTTAACAATTCTATACGCCCGCCGCTGCTGGCTGCATTCTAATAAATTTCCGATATGCATGGATTTCTGCTAATTTAAAATTGAACTATATACTTTTAATATTTTTATACTTCTAATTAATTTCAATCCTTCGGCTGGTAAAGCCTTGTTTTTACAGTAAACCATTAAACAGTTATTGAATATGAGGCATTCATTAAGGCCACAGTATTTCCCCAGACTGCAGCAAGTTTCGCACTACCAAACGTCGCACTTCTCGCTTTTCCGTTCATTGTCATTCCAATGCAAACTAAGAATGGAATGAAATTGACGAGTAGAAAACAGGCGACTGCTAGCAGACAGCAGGATATGTTCTTCATAGAAAATGTCCTTTTCATTTCTGGCGATACCCAATTTCTACGATGCTTTCTGGCAATGACAAATAGTTTGTAGTTCGTAAACAACATTGCATGGTGGAGCAAGAAGTGCCATGAATGTCAAAAGACCACTTTGGCGACGGATTACAAAGTTCTCAACAGATTACACTCAAAAAGTCAATGCTACAAAAATAAGTATTCCTAAAAGTGATGATAGTCTTCTCTTGCTGACCGGAAGTTCGATGAAAAAAGGGGCACCATATTGCTAAATACATTTCCAAGCTCTTGACCAAAAAAGCGAGCAACGAAAGACCTGGAAATATATGTGCTATGTAGCACGAGAGCAAGAAACGTAGTAAATCAAATTTTTCTCTTAACCACGTTATTGCGATAAGAGCCATCAATGGGTTATTCCTTACAATCGTAAACAAATCGAGACAGGACAAAACCATGATCATGAAATAACACATTTTCTTTCGAACTTGCGGAGAGGACCAGAAACTGAGTACGACTAAGAAATATAACATAATCACAAGACAGAGAAGCATAGGTTCAAAGCACATATTATTATCAAGTTGATGTAGCATTTCATCTCCATCGATAACGAAAGTTGCAGAAAAATTGAAAAAACAGAAACAGAAAAATTGCACAATAAAAACGTCGTTGATTGCATAAAGTTCATCGGCATGATTTAATTTGAATTTCGTTGACTTATGCAAGAAAATTAGGATAACATTTACATAAGTTACCCGAGCAAAATTTAGTCGAATTTCATTACAAGAAAAAGGTTAAGTTATCTACGTCTCTCATTAAGGTGGCTCCCTCCAGTTTATTGAAACTGTCAAATACACATCTTGAAAAGTGTAAATCGAATCTCTGTCTGCTGATTCGAGTCAACTCCAAGGAGACTGAGGCACGAACAAACTTTATTTAAGCGCGAATAATGGCTTGATACAAACAACAATGTTGAACTAACTGATTACTAATTAATAATTCTTAATTAGTGGTTTAAAAACAAACAGATTTAACTACACAATTCATGTGGTTTGAATAATGTTCAAAACAGCTTTGAAATGATTAAATTTATTTAGTTAGGTTAAGAGAGAAAATATATAATTCTCTCGTTATAGCGATCCTGAAAATTTCCCATACCTTAAGGCAATTTTTGCATTACGCTCTCTTCATCCGGGCGGGTGAAATGCGTTTTGTTTTTGAAATCACGACCGTATAAGATAATTTTCAAAAGCAGCTTTGCCCGCGTAGGAAAAGCGAACGTAATGGGAAACAACTTTTATAACCAAGCCAACTAGTTCAATGTTTTATTGGCCTTAGAAAGATGCATGGCGGACGACATCCGTATATAATACGAACATAACATCAATGGTTCTGTGTCAAGTGCCTGCCATGTTTAGTGCTGTGAGAAAAAAATCACAACTAGTACAACTAGTGCATGTAAACGGGGCTTGAACTATTCAAACTATATACTATATAAAAACATAGTTAAATTTGTCTGCGCATGCGCAGAATTGTCAGAAACAAGATTGCAGCATCTGGTCGGAGTTAAACCGGTTTCCCAACATTAACTGTGTAGTTTCGACATCATTATGCACTAACGCTCTATACATCTAAAGTCCGGTGCACCTTACGTACCACTTTTGTCATTCGTACCCAGGGTTATAGCTCGACCGCTTAATCGGTGGTCGCATATTAAGGATATATTTAGGTTTACATACTGTAGGAACAATAATGGAGGCGAATATATTTTAGTCTTCTTGTTTTGTGGCAAGTAATTTTAAAATGTCTAAGTAGTTAAATTTAGTAGAAACTTAAATTCACACTAACAAAGCTGATTTTGTAAATTTACATCGGTAAAATGATACAGCACGAAGTGTTTGCCATGTATATGTAGGTCATAGTATAAAAATTAATATGAGCGATAAATTGCCGAGATGCAGGTACCAATATCACCAGTTATCCTGACAGGTGTTATAGTTCTATAAACATTTCTTGATTTCCAATCCTATAGCTTTCGCCATAGGCAGAGGAACTGCATTACCTATCTACGAGAAAAAATAGTGCAAGTTGTTATTATTGACATTGTTTAGTTTGGATAAGTATATTATAATTATGATGAACTCAAGGTCGGTTCAATTCTTCCCTACCTGCCTATGTTTGTCGGAAATGCTACCAATAAAGCGATAGGAATCGAGAAAGCCTTGGGAACGAGCACATTCACGTACACTAACTATTCGATGTTGCGAAGGATGCAGGACTCGACCCTGTTGGAAAAAATTAACTGAATTTAAAGTGGAAGTCAAGAATGAAAAGTGGAAGTCAAGTCCGTTCTGCGCATCGGTTCTGTTCATAACAATGTGAAGTCATCGGGCATAAATTTTACCCAAATTTCGCATGTTTCAAATTTTTCTCATCAAAAACGCTAAGTCATATTCATATAAACTTTTAAAGGCATAGTGGACCTAAATGTATAAACTGATATTTTAGATATTCAGACAGCACAATGTATTTTAAAAAGTATATAAGTTCATAATAATTATAAACAAACCGTTTGTTTACATACGACTTGGCGAGTGTACCAGTTCTAGTGTTATATATAGATGTATTTTATATAAAGCTAGTTATATATTAGACTTTCATAGACATGTCATAGATAAAGTCTAATATAACTAGTTTTAATGGTAACTTCATTAATTTAGTTAACTACTGAAGCTGGAGAATATTTTCAATTTTCGAAAACGATCCAACGCACTAATACGCCACAAAAGGTAAAAACCTAACCTGTTTTCCCATTGGGTCAGGATTAGTAAGTGTGGTTCTAAAGAAGCCTTCCCATTCCAGTCGTCCAAGAACACCTGACCAATGGTTGTTTTCATTGCCTGTGTGTGGTAATCTCCACGGAATCAGAGTATTGGATTGTTTGTCCGTTGGATTGCAGCCCGCGCCCTCAGCACAACTACAAACACCACGAATTTGACCGGATGATCCATTTCCATTCTTCTTATCGAGATGAGTGTAACGCCTAGGAAAAGTGAAGATATGGATTAGGAATTCTATTGTAAGATTAATGCGGATTTCTATTGTAAGCTATTGCACTTACACAAGACATCCGGGCAAAACTGAATATATGAATAAACATAAACCTCCCCCGGCCCAATTATCGTTCTAAGTTCGCCACTGCATACAGTGAATAGGGAGTTTGAGCAAGGCAACGAAGTGCGAAGACGAAGACAAACTTCACAATTTTTTAACGTCTGCGCATCATTTGCGCATACTCCGCTTAAGGTCAGCGGTGAGGGTTTAACGTCTTCGTCCTGTTGTCCTGGTTTAGGACGAATATTTTGACAAAGTTCGTTGTGGTCAGAACGAAGTTTTCAAGGTAAAACATATTCAAGTCAAATCCTGAATAGTTTTTGTATGGAATATAAATGTTGTTTTGAGATTTGTAAACCGTAAAGAAGTATAAAATCTTCATCTTCCAAAGCATCTTCTGAAAACATTGCTAAAATAGCCATCTTGTATTCAGCTTTCATGTTTACAATTTTAGTACCGTGTTCGTAGTCGTATAACTTTGACAGAACTGCTCAATTCAAATATCCCACTGCACGAAGACTTAAGACGAAGACTACTATTCCCAGTCTACCTCGGCTGAAACACGTCTTCGTCTTCGTACTTCGTTTCCTTGCTCAAACTCACTAATAACTAACAAGATTCAAAGTATAATTCAAGTTCAGTATTATGTTGTGGACAGTGTTGTTTTACTGCGAACACAATCATATACACCACTAAATCCGAAGTATAGTGCGTATATTTCCCGTATGTTCCACTTCTGGGGTGACATGGCGAAAAATGGCAGGCTGCTTTTACATGACCAAATTTCCTTTGACAAATTCCTAAACGTAGTTTTTTACCTCCAAATAATTTTATGCAAAACTTTTTCGGTGGTATATTTGACAATTTTATGGTATTAATAATTTAGTATGAAAAATTTTATAGATGTTACAAAAAACAATGTGAGAAAATTAAAACAACATTATATCTTACAGTATCTCAGTAGAATTTCCATCAGGCAGTTGAACAGTTATATTTGGTAAATCTCTCCAATCCGATCCAGGCTGTTTTGGGATGTGTTGAATTCTGGCTACAACCAATGGTTTCATCTGTTTGCACACGTGATCGCGAAGAACCGCTTCCTTGTTAACCCCTCGGATCTTTAGGAATTAAAACACCACTTTTTTTAATTAAAACGCATTTCACTACCGTCTATATATAAACATTTGTATACATGGCAATCTTTCCTAGTTTTAACGCCCAATTAGCAATGGCGCCCCGGGGTAATCTATATACAATCTACACCAGGTGGGCGAGAAAGTGAAGGGAGAACAGTGACCTACCCAAGATTTTTGTTTAAGAGGATATGCATTTGTAAAACTAAGCATAGAATCGTTCACACAAAGGAGTAAACAAACATATAATGGGAAACGTACGTATAAATGATACAGACGAAAATAATGAAAGTGAGGGTAAATCAATAAAGATTTTGTGGCTCTTATTTTCAAGTGGAAATCACATTTCAAATTCCAGCCAGGAAAGTGGAGAAAAATTGTTCAACTGTCGGTCCTATCGAACGTAGATTAGATGCGTTTGATTTCCACTCAAAATTAAGATTTTTGAACCTTTAAGAAAATAATACGCATCTACAAAACCCACTCACTCACACCCATATAATTATGTTGAATGATTGCGAGTGTACTTTTAGAATACCAGTGTTAATTCAATGCAGATGACGCACACAAAATATGACGTTTCTCACCAGACAGTTTTTGTGGGTAGCCTGCGCATGCGCGGCTAACCACTATGTAGTCGAAAAAGTGTCCGGATCTGTGTGGGCTATCTTTAAAATAGGGAATGGGGAATGCGGGAATGGGGGAATGCGGGAATGCGGGAATGGGGGAATGCGGGAATGGGGGAATGCGGGAATGGGGGAATGGGGGAATGCGGGAATGGGGGAATGGGGGAATGCGGGAATGCGGGAATGCGGGAATGGGGGAATGGGGGAATGCGGGAATGGGGGAATGGGGGAATGCGGGAATGGGGGAATAAGGGAATGGGGGAATAAGGGAATGGGGGAATAAGGGAATGCGGGAATGGGGAAATGCGGGAATGGGGGAATAAGGGAATGGGGGAATAAGGGAATGGGGGAATAAGGGAATGGAGGGATAAGGGAATGGGGGTATAAGGGAATGGGGGAATAAGGGAATGGGGGAATAAGGGAATGGGGGAATAAGGGAATGGGGGAATAAGGGAATGGGGGAATAAGGGAATGGGGGATAAGGGAATGGGGAATAAGGGAATGGGGGATTAGGGAATGGGGGAATAAGAGAATAAGGGAATGGGGGAATAAGGGAATGGGGGAATAAGAGAATAAGGGAATGGGGGGATTAGGGAATGGGGGGATAAGGGAATGGGGGAAAAAGGGATGCAGGAATGGGGGAATAAGGGAATGGGGGGATTAGGGAATGGGGGAATAAGAGAATAAGGGAATGGGGAATAAGGGAATGGGGGAATAAGAGAATAAGGGAATGGGGGGATTAGGGAATGAGGGGATAAGGGAATGGGGGAAAAAGGGATGCAGGAATGGGGGAATAAGGGAATGGGGGAATAATGGAATGCGGGAATTGGGGAATAAGAGAATGCGGGAATAAGGGAATGCGGGAATAAGGGAATGCGGGAATAAGGGAATGCAGGAATAAGGGAACACAGGAATGGGGGAATAAGGGAATGGGGCGAACAGTGAAACCGGTGAACGAGTGAGCGGGGGAACCTGGAATGGGGGAACAGAGGGATGGGGGAACCAGGGAACAGGGTAAAGGTTAAACTAATAGTAACAGTCTTGAGCCTGAAAGGAACAATTTTTAGTATATATTAGGCGTGTATACAGTATTATGGCTCTCTACAAATATATTTATTGTTATTAATGCCAACCTGGCAAGTACTAGTGTTAATTGTTATTGTGAAACTCAGGCACTCTTGTATTAGATTTTACCAAAGTGAAAAATCAAAATATACTTGCCTTTCAGTAAAAATTAAAACTATAAATAAGATAATGGTATTGTTGTGTGCTAGTGTGTTCATTTAGTTGGCATGCAAAATTTCAATAGTGATATCTATTCAAAATATAATGACAAATGCAACAGCTAGAACATATGTTATATGGGAATAACATTGCTCAAGAAACTGTTCTGTGTATATAATTTTCATGCATGTTTGCATTTGCTTTCAACAAAATTTATGAATGAACCCACTGACCCTTAACTAATTAAGGACAGTCATCCTTTATTAGCAGGTTTGGGGCTTAAGAGAAAAGGGTATAGGGTAACTGCATGAAAATGAAGTGTTATTAACAATATAAATCCTTTCATCATTAAAATCTGAAACCAGGCATGAATCAACTAGCTGTACAATCCTAAATCATTATGCATCAAGTGACTGACTCTTTCCCAATCAGCATACAAAGCTTAAAATCTTATAAAATCTTTAATGAATCTCAGTCATTCCTTGGTAGGAAGTCTCAGGCCTATAGCTAGTTATATGAAAACATTATATCAGAAAATATATATAATCAAGTATATAATCAAGTAGGGCATTTAGATATTTATTGTAGTACAGGAAGTATTTATGTATTCCAATAAATGTCATAAAAAGGTAATATACATCCATAGTATTTAGTATTGCAATGTTTGCATGCCAATTATAAAGTGCAAACATTGCTTATTACATAATTACCAAGTTATTCACAAAATGCACATTGTTGTTTCACTGTAACCAAAAATGTTTCTTTCAACAAAATATATTCATCATAATTATATGTTTTCCAAAAAGTTTGTTGTCTAAAATCAGTGGAGTAAAACACTCTAAATATACTACTAATTTTGAAAAAGCTATAGAGTTAAATAGTATATATAGGGAAAATACTTTCTGATATAATGTTTTCATATACCTAGCTATAGGCCTGAGACTTCCTAGCTACCAAGGACTGACTGAGACTCATTAAGATTTTATAAGATTTTAAGCTTTGTATGCTGATTGGGAAAGAGCCAATATGTTGACTATATATTGCTGATGTCAGTCACTTGATGTATAATGATTTAGGATTGTACAGCTAGTTCATGCCTGGTTTCAGATTTTAATGATGAAAGGATTTATATTGTTAATTAATAACACTTCATCATTTCCATGCAGTTACCCTACCCTTTTCTCTTCAGCCCCCAACCTGCTAATAAAGGATGACGGTCCTTAGTTAAGGGTCATTGGGTTCATTTATAGATTTTGTTGAAAGCATAAATGCAAACATGCATGAAAATTATATACACAGAACAGTTTCTTGCCAACTAAATGAACACACTAGCACACAACAATACCATTATCTTATTTATAGTTTTAATTTTTACTGAAAGGGAAGTATATTTTGATTTTTCACTTTGGTAAAATCTAATACAAGAGTGCCTGAGTTTCACAATAACAATTAACAGTTGCCAGGTTGGCATTTAATAATAACAATAAATATATTTGTAAGTAGCATCCTAGATACAGAGAGCCATAATACTGTATACATGCCTAATATATACTAACAATTGTTCCTTTCAGGCTCAAGACTGTTACTATTAGTTTAGCTGCTCAATGAGTCCATAGTTCCACCTTTATCCTGTTCCCTGGTTCCCCCATCCCTCTGTTCCCCCTTCGGTTCCCCGCTTCCCACTCTGTTCCCCCATTCCCCGGTTCCCCTGCTCACTTGTTCACCGGTTACCCCATTCCCTTATTCCCCCATTCCCTTATTACCCCATTCCCTTATCCCCCAATTCCCTTATTCCCCCATTCCCTTATTCCCTTACTCCCCCATTCCCTTATTCCCTTACTCCCCCATTCCCTTATTCCCCCATTCCCTCATTCCCCCATTCCCTTATTCCCCCATTCCCTTATTCCCCCATTCCCTAATCCCCCATTCCCTTATTCTCCCATTCCCTAATCCCCCCATTCCCTTATTCCCCCATTCCCTTATTTCCCCATTCCCTTATTCCCCCATTCCCTTATTCCCCCATTCCCTTATACCCCCATTCCCTTATCCCTCCATTCCCTTATTCCCCCATTCCCTTATTCCCCCATTCCCGCATTCCCTTATTACCCCATTCCCCCATTCCCGCATTCCCCCATTCCCGCATTCCCCCATTCCCGCATTCCCCATTCCCTATTTTAAAGATAGCCGATCTGTGTGTGTTTGTGGCAATCGTCGGATAATCTTCGGCAATTGTCGGATATACGAAAGATGACGAACGGTACGTTCTACTTCCGGAAAATTTCGTTGTTTTCGAAGGACGGAAGCAACGTTAATACGTTTGTCAAATTTTAAAGCGAAGTTGAGTACTTTAAAGACGAAAAAGCGGTGATCGGTGAGCGTTGAATCTACAACTACAAAGTTACACTAATAGGAAATAAATAGTAACAAGTTGCCCTGTTTTATAAATTATAATACAATATTTCACCTGTCAATTTCTTGCTTGTAGACATGCAGCTATTAAACCAAATACATTACCTTATTGCACATGGTAGTAACAAGTTGCCCTGTTTTATAAATTATAATTTGGCAAATGGTACTAACAAGTTGCCTTGCTTTATAAATTATAATTCAATATTTCACCTGTCTTTCTTGCTTGTGGACATGCAGCTAATAAACCAAATACATTACCTTAATGCAAATGGTAGTAACAAGTTGCCCTGTTTTATAAATTATAATTCGGCATATGGTAGTAACAAGTTGGCCTGTTTTATAAATTACTATGCAATATTTCACTTGTCAATTTCTTGCTTGTGGACATGCGGCTATTAAACCAAATGCTTTGGAGTTCAAAAAACAAAACTGTTAACAAAAGTCAATTTTAACTGATCAAAGATCTTTAAAATATTGTTCAGATACATAGATAAGTCCTTAAAAAATTGTTAATGTGAAACATTGGAAACAATTTTGGACTCTTTGTTATGTGACTGTAAAATGATCTGGCAAATCAAGTAATTTATCCTCAATGAAATCTTTGTTAAGATCTTCCTCCTTCTAAACTAAGCTTTATGTTATCAGACGATGTGTGCCACCATCCCGGAACCTTACTCTCCTTTTTGTTCTGTTCACCTATTCTGCTTAAAAAATTTCATTTCCTATCTTTTGTAAAAATGCTTTTATACATGTTTTGATCTGTCCAAAAATGTATTTAATACAATAAAATATTATAATATATAGATTGCATAATAAATCGACTTTGTTATAACTGTATTCAACCAGCTAACTATAGGGCGTTTATTCCGTTGTCTATGGCATTAGAACATAAGACTAGAAAATTATATTTTATTGCATCAGTTGATATTTACTCGCCAATATAGCAGCTCTATTGCATTACAGGCTACCCACATGTACGCATTGCGTACCTATTTTTATGAAACGTTATGATCAGGCCCCAAACTACAGGATGTCTCAAAGAAAACGAAAACTATTGAAATCACTCATTGTTAAAATTTGAATGTAGTGTTCACGAATTTTAGCCCCTGGGGATTTAATGCAACTTATAAGCTGCTAAATACGAAGAATTTGAAATTGTGAATACGCTTAAATTTGAATTGGCCTTGTTATTGCTTCGAAAGAAAATGGTACAGCTGCATGACTGCGGAACGTGTGTGTATTGTGATATCATCCCAATAGAGTGTTTAGGCATTCAAACTCTAACAATTACATTGTTATGGATGATTTCAATAGTTTTCGAGTTTTTTGAGACACCCTGTACATGCGACAACTGGGCGGGGGAATATTAATTTTACATATTCGTTTTGCATGACGGATTTCTTTTGTACGCATATGCGTTTTCAAAAAGTTCGTCGGGCAGAATAGAATATGTGAATATTCACCCTCTCCTCCCTAATTATCGCGCTAGTTTCGGCCCTGATCATGGTATATAACATGCTCAGACATGCTCACCTTTCGCTGAAAATCTGTCTTTGGTTCCCCACCATATGATATCTCGTCAGCTTTCGCTCCATTCTTTATGGCAGGCAGGTCAGAGATGGCTTCTCGCACGGTTACGGTTCTGTGAGGAGCTGAGTTGACACTTTTAAAATTTGAAGCATACTAGATAATAGAAAACATATCAGACGCGTAATGGCTAAATATATGGAGACTTTTCAGCGAAGCTCTGTTAAAAAAGACCTTTTTTACGTGCCCACTCTCTATTTTCTCATAGTAAAAGTGTTATATTTGTGACATATGCACAAACACGTGACTCTTCCATATTTGGAAGTCACAAGCACATGGGGAGAGAGGAAGAAAAGTGCGGGCTGAGGACACTTCGGAACATTCGGAGATTGTAAAGGCCCGTTTACACTTGCAATTTTTTCTGCGATTGTATGTGCGATTTTCTTTTTCGGATAAATGTGAACGAGCGAACAGTACTTATACACCATTCAGATCTTTCAAGTCGAAGGTGTAAACGAACGGTAAGCGAATATGTGATAGAGATAGAGAGTTAAAAACGAGACTGTGCACTACTGAAGTCTGAAGCATTGACGATAAAAGTATAAAAGAGCATTTAGACGAGTTTTTAGTGTCAGGCATTTACTTATAGTGACGTGTGCACCTGGCTGTCCTGATCGAGTCATTTAAAGAGGTCGTATGATGAAATCAATAGAACTATTACATGGAAAAGGCTATAAGATGGTAAAGTGACATTTATTTTCCAGATTATCACGTAAGGAAGTATCACCAATAAGTTTAGTCACCTTTTTACCATCGACAGATACAGAGAGAGGACGGGCCATTGAAGAAAAGCAATGTGTGGGTTCTGGAAACACAGGCAGCCTTTCTCCTGAGGCAGCCGCTAATATGATTGCTCGACGTCGCGCTTGAGGAACGCCATAACTTCCTGCTTGAAGAACACCTAACGTACACTGAAAAGTATAAAGAAAACACGGTACAAATGAGTAAATTCTTTCTTAAACGTTAAAGTGACTTTGCAACGAAATTTCACCCCTGATATTGGTAATAAATATAAGGTTTTAAACTTTTAACAAACTTGCAAATCAGTTACAAACCTAGTGGTTGCATATCTTATATATAATATTTGCATATTATCAATCTTGTTTGTTATGGGGTATACAGGGTGTGCATGTGACCTAATTCACGAAACTTGGTTGGGTATAATAATTAATGATAATTATTCATGATTTCGCAATGTTACACTGTAAAGAAAACTTATCCACAGAAGTAATTATTCAGTTATTTCGGGTGCTCACTAGAATGCAACCATAGTGAAATTTCCTTTCATAAGCACTTTAAAAACAGTAAATTGCTTAAATGCCCACTGTTATGCGTCAACTTTTGCACGCTTGTTTTTATTATTACCTGATAACCCATCATCAGGAGGCATCTCAAGGTAAGTTTTAACATCATGCTTCTCTTGAAGGAGAAGAAGGTGCAAACGTTCTCCAGAATGAAGAATCTCGGACGATAATAGTCGCAGTAACTGAGGTAAGTAGCTACAAGAGAATTCTAGTGTGAGTAAGATCATTATCAGTATCAGGAGTTTGCAGTAGAAAAGCAACGGTAGAAACTGATGTATTAGCAATTTCTTATAACCAGTATGACAACCGCCAGGACATCCGGGCCAAAAAAAATTTCTAAACAAATAACTTGCTTCGGTTTGTATTAAAATATGAAGTATTTCTGATAGCGAAATGTAAACAAGCAAGGAATATCATGACTTTAGATCTTCGTTCAATTTTATCTGCTATTGCGTCAAAACATGCAAGCTGTTATTCGCTCGGTGTTCAGCTGTTTCAACCGGATGGATTTATGTGCTACTGGTGTTCCACCCATCCCCATACGGGAGAAACGTAACAAAAGAATCACGTGACCAGCCTGAACCAGGGTTTTCGCCGCAGCGTGGGCCGTCGAGCGTTGGCCGTCGAGCGTAGGTAGAAAAGCCTGGCTTGCGAATTTGCTCTCAGTCACCTTTATATCAAATTCATTTTCATATGTTTAAAACAAAATCTTACCAAATTTCGCCTACCTGACACATTAGAAATTGTCTACTTTGTATACCGAATACAACTGCATGCCGTTAAAATTCCAGAAATATAGGACATTTTTCATTGCATTCAATTGGAACTTATGATTACACAGATGATTTAATAATTATTTGCATTTCAAATCTACTATATTGTGTTTAGACAATAGACGATTGGTACCATTGTTACCTTTAATTTGAGAAATCCTTAATCAACTTTAAAAAGCAGCATTTTCAAACTATTTATGAACCAGTTTGCAGTGAAAATATCTCCGTTTGTAGCAATCTGCGCATGTCTGCGGGCGCCACCTTGTCCCGTATTTCTGGAAAATTGTTCCCATATCAATGGGCTTAAATTGGAAATCTCGAAGCGTGGCAATAAGATGATGTATTAGGTCGCGGAAGTCAATCAATGTGGTTCTATCTGATATCTGCCTCTAACTGAATCGTAGGTCGTGTAGCGAAGTAGCTTGGTGTTTAACTGGTACAAACCGAAAAAACTTGCTTAGCTACAATTCAAAGTTTCAAAAACAATTTCCTATTATGGTTTTAAATTCCTTTTAAGAACGGCAAATGGATGTCAAATCTGACATGACGTAGCACGAATCGTGAGTATTACCCAGCTTATCGACTGCATGAAGGAGCTTTCTTATTAAACGCTAAAAAGTTCCACCATGATGCGCAACACAGTTTAAACATACGAGGTAGGCCAGGATCTTTCTCAACTATATATATAACTGCCCACAGCCCCTTATTCCACCCTCTGATTAATTCCACCCCCCCCCCTAGTTAATGAGATATCTCCCCTTTACAAAGCGATAAAAAATCAGGAAACAATGGATGACGTTTTTCTAATATGGTATAAAGGGAATACAGATGACTGCAGCATTGATCTGTCACAAAAGTCATTATTTTATAATGCGTCTCAATCACGAAAACAGATCTCTTTCGTTATTTCGCCTCCAACGAAGAAATTCTTAAAAAAGCCCTGAGGTAAGCATTCCAATTTCCCCTTTACCTTCACACTAATTTCCCCACCGAAATTCCTAACTTGTTTAAAGTACAGGGTTTCCCATTGTTTTTGAAGGCCTTTCTCTGCGGAATTTTTTCTATATTCTGCTGGGTGATGTGATTTCGTTACTACCAATCAGCATATAAAATATGTTTCAGTCGAAATAGGAAGGACAATACAAATAATCCGCCCTAATGTTTAATCATTTTAATTCGAAATTCTTATAAAACTACATTAAAAAAGATTATATATAAAAACAAGAAAAGCTTTTCGCCCGATTAAACCTAACAATGGATATACACGGATTAGTCTTTGAACAAACGATTAATTAACAAAGTAAAATTGAGCTGTGAAACAAGTGACTCCATGGTTGTCGGACTCAGTGTAGTCGTAAAGATCTTCACCATACCAGATTCGTATAGCTTGGTTTTGATAAATGAACCTGGTGCCAACATCTGAGAAGACCAGCTGAGGTGAATTGTGGCCATAGCCAGGAAGATGATACCAACCACCAGCTTGATAAGGCTTCGTTAATACAGGAGAAGGATATATGACCGCGTTGTAAACATCTGTGACGTACATGTTTGTGCGGTGATTATTATTACAACCCCAATTTGACCGCGCAGCTAGATAGCAACCAAGTTTTTGACTGGTGTGAATCATCCTGAATGCACTCACAAAACCCGCCTGTCCACTGTATGTAAGAGTTAGGAAATTGTTATTTTTAGCACCAACACATCCACTGCCAACAGTTCTCCATCCGGCTAAGAATCAATAGAAATTCAAGAGAAAATTGAGAGACGAAAATTTAACAAAAACGTTCATAAATTTTGGGGTAAATTCGTTTCAAAATATCGCGTTACTCAGCCATACGAATAAATGAATATTCGGCAAATTGACTAAACCCATCAACTGATATGCAGTAATAATAAAATACGGTGTAGGGTAGGCTTAACTCAGCAACGAACAGCTAGGCTTGCCATAAGATGATTGTCACTCATGAGAGTTGCATAAAAGTATATAATTATTGCCAGGGCTCCACAGATAATTTTGAGGGCCCGGCGCAAAATGCGCACAATATAATATAGATGTACACTTATTTACCTGCACAGAATGCTGCATGGATTACACAAAGCAACAAGAAGATTTTCGCCAACATTTTGCTTGAAGATTTTTGTCACAAATTACTCGATCTGCAGAAAGTATGCGGCGCTATCACCGAATTGTTAACTTTTGAACGTATGCGAGATTCACCTTGTTTCTTCTACGTTTGTGTGACTATAAATTTTCTGTCTAAAATATCGATGCTTTTATATCTTCTTTCTGCCTGCGCACTCCCACATTATGTTGCCTGTCTTATTAAGGAAGAGGAAATGCGCGTTCTTGCATTGACGCAGATGATTATTTACATCTTCAGGCTTTTACAGGAGGAAATATACAAAATATAAACAAAGCATGATGTAATAGGAGATCATAATCCGAAATTTATGAGGGGAAATCGAAATAGGGGAAACTAGCAATGTTTAAATTCGCTTGCATGGATCGACACTGTGTTACGTATGTTATCGTGATTGAACTTTTTGATGAAACCCTGAGAGCGAGTTTGTAAAGGCCAGATATTGTGTTTTTTGAATGCAATAACGTCACAGAAACTTTAGTTACGTCAAAACGACTCTGATTAGGTCCTGTCACTCCTGCGGCTGAACAGGCTCAAGGTCAGGCGTGGATTCAGGGCATATTTAGTTAAGTTGTCCCCCATAGTGAAAGACTGATTATATCGCCCGTTTCTGGAAGCGAGAAATACTATGCCATGAGCTTAGTTTTTCAAATTACAGTTGAAAACTTGAAATGATGAATTTCATATTGGGGGAAAACAAATATTAGAAGCTTGGTTAAGTCAGCTTTTTGCGACAAGGTTTATGGGAACGAATTAAAGAAGAAATACCAAAGGGTCGCAGCTGTAGGCGTTAATAAATACCAAATTGACTTGATGCGAGACCTCGATATTAGAATATTGGATAAAAAACAGAGGAAATTTGATTGCTTCCTTAGCTTGCGCTGTAGAGTAAACGAAATCCTAAAATTGAAGAAGCCACAAATGAAGGCATCGCCTAGGAAAGCAAAATATGTGTGACATAAAGTTTTGTGTAGGCTAATTGATGCGCTAACGATGAAACCGATAATTGCATGACTGTTTGCACAATTTAGAATTGATATAGAAGTGCAAAGATTATATTACAACCAAGCGAGCATAGGCCTACAAACAAGCTTGATCGAAAGTTTGACATAAAACGAGGAATGTGCTAGTTGGATTTAAAATGTTAACCTATTTTTCCTTTATTGCTTGATCTGAAAACAGAGAGATTTCCTTGTTGTATTCGGCTGAAGAATTAGACAATTTCAAATCAAATTTTTGGCAAATAATAACGGCGAAATTTCGGAAAGATTTCGTTTTAAAAACGTGCCAATGAAAATAGGAATAATAGATTTTCTTGTAAGTTCGAATAGTGCGACTGAAAGTACCTTCAAGCCAAATGGAAAAATTTACAATCCTCCGTGCGCGAATGCGCAAATGTACGTCAAACTGTGCAAATAGAATACGCTTCGTCAGAGGGAGATCTCATTAATCCGACATTTCCGTAAACATCGCGTTTTACACTTTTTTTCTTTCTAAGTTGAAGTTTCCTTCCTAGTTCGTCCATGTTCTCTTTGCAGTGACTTTGCCATTACTTCTGATTCGATATTTTGCGCTTCTATATTTTATTGTGAATACTGCAATCAGCGTTCCTAAGCGATGTCCTTTGTCGCATGTTGAATTTTAAATTTTTGTTACTCGGTAGAGCAAACTATCCAATTTCCTTTGTTTTTTATCCGACACAAATAAAGAGGTTTCGCATCAAGCCAGTTTGTTATTTATTTGCTTAACGTCTACTTGTCACCCTAGCTAATTCATCCCTAATTCTCTGCATTCCGTCCCTAGCTATAAAATCGTAGTAATTAATCCCAATATATGTGTTAAAAGCCTCTTTGCGATGGTTCTCTTACCTTAAGCCTGTTTTCCACTAGGCGGAATTTTACTCGTGGAGCGGAATATTTCTTTGTTTTCCTCACATTAATTCTGCATGAAAGCGCGCAGACAATGAAAAATTCCGCTCCTCGAGTCCTCGTGGAAAATTTACTCGCTATGTTCTCAAATTCGCCTCTCAATATAGAACTTTAACCATTGGCGTAACTAGAATGATAATTGGGGGGGGGGGTGAATATTCATATATCCAGTTCTGCCTTACGGATTTTTTTTGTAATTGCAATAGCTTACAATAGAAATCCGTCGGGCAGAAATGAATATATAAATATTCACCCCCCTAATTATCGTTCTAGTTACGCCCCTGGCTGCTGAATATAGTATGATCTATTTGTTTATAATATGATTTTAGGCCGATATTTTCTCACTCAAAGCTTTTGGATATACATCCATCATAAACCGTGTCGCACAAAGCCTGCGCAAAGCTGAACCCACAATTGACCTTGACCCCGTTCAGCCGCAGGACCTTATCAGATACGTTTTAACGTAAGTGATGTTAACTCTGCAAAGTTATTGTGTTGAAAAGACGCAATTTCTGAACTTTCAAAATACTCGCTTTCAAGGTTTCATAATTTTGTTTTTTAATACCCTTTTAAGAAAAGCAAATTGATGTCAAGTCTGTCTTTTTTATATAGCATCATGAATCGTAAACATTAACTTAGCTTATCGACTGATAATAGGTCTTTATTTTATGAAGCGTTTAAGACAGCACCTAC